TGGCCATTTACCCAAGTTGAACCATTTACTTGGTTCAACAAAAATACTTCCAATGGCATACTTTAAAACAATCAGATACTTCCATATTTTAATTTGTGTATCTTATATTATTAAAATTTTAATAGTCCAGGGGCTGGAGTGATAGCACGGAGAAGGGAGTTTGTCTTGCATGCGGCTGGCCCGGGTTCTATTCCCAAAATCCCATATGGTCCCTTGAGCACCGCCAGGAGTAATTCCTGAGTGCATGAACCAGGAGTAACCCCTGTACACTGCAAGGTGTGACCCAAAAAGCAAAAAAAAAAAAAGAAAATTTAATAGTCTAAACTGACATTTCACTATCTTTGATTAATTATTATACATAAGTCATAATAAGCTAGTATTATGGCTATGAAAATGATCAACAATGTAGCTAACATACTGGTGTATCAAGTTCATCCAAATAATAAAAAAGAAAAAAATAAGTTAAGACTAATGACAAATGGAATGCCTGCAACATTTCTAAGTTTAATTGATAAGCACCATCATACAATATCCCCAAATTCAGTTAGGGTAAATTAAGTCATGTTCCCCAAAGCATAAAATAATTCCACTTAACTATAAAAGTGACATGACAAACATCCGAATGTTTTTCAACTGAAGCCAGCAGCAAGGACATAAACTCTTTATGACATACAACCCATCCCTATATCCTGCCATTTCTTTTGCTGAACCTCAGACTAATCTGCGGGCTACAATCATCACTTTCAAGCAGTACATGAAACTCTACCTTCACATATGATAACAGTTTTACTATTCTTCTCTTTATACAGCTACTTGAGATTACTCTTTTGGTACAAATTTTTATAAATATATAGACCACTTGTCTAGTATTTCAGATTCTTCCCTATCAGTGCAAAAAAGGCACTAAAAACCACTTAACACATTAAATAAGTAATTATCTCCCAGTACACTGAAGGTGTGAAGGCAACTTTCCAAAGTAACATACAATTCAACTGATGCTTATGCCTTGAATACCTCTAGAATAACCTCTACTTCAACTTCCAATTAAGACTAAAGGTAAAATATCCACTTTTAGAATTAAGTAAATTAGGGGTTTACTCTTTGTTGAAATAGGATAAAAGAAGACTGATTGTACAGCTTTCTAAAAACAACTTAACATTTTTAAAGGTGAGAGAATAGTTGTGTCAAATAATTGTCATTATCTAGGAACTGAAAACTCTACAATTAAGTTGAGCTCTGGTCAACAAGACAGAAATCATTCCATTAAATATTGAGAAGAAATGTTTTTATTAAGAAAATGTGAAACTTTTTTATTAGGTTTACTTTCCTGATTTGTATATCTCAGAAAATATATTGCAGTTTGAGTTAATATAGGGTTAATTCAAATACTCAAGGTCATATAATTGTTAAGATTTTTATTAAACTGAATTTGGTAGTAATTGCATTAAATTCAAATTATATCTTATTATTCAGAAAATTCCATTTTTCTTATCTAAATGTAACTGCTATAATGTGTGTAACATACATGTAATACATAACATAAATGTTTTTCCCCCTGGGTGAATACAGACTGCTCCTAATTCTGCTTACCTTCTGTTATGCTTCACTATGCTGTTTCCCTACCTCCCAAAAAGAACAGTATAGGCATGAATTAAGGTAACTGGATATGTACTACTCCAATGTAGTATATTCAGTTTAACATATAAGATATAAAATGCAGCACCTTCTCCTTACATAATAGTGGGGGTTGGGAGCTAATGTACTTTAGTGAAAACTGTTATTTTCTATTGTAAATAACCACCAGTTTTAAAACATTATCTCTTCAAATATCTACAACAGAGTATATTTCTAACTGAAAGTCTACCTTTATTTGCTGCAAATGAAAGTATATGCATAGTCAATCATATAACATTTACATACTTGGACACATTTTAATTTCTAATGTGAGACCTTAAATGTGCTTTTACTTTCTAATCTTCACATAAAATCAAACAAGCACATGTTAAACTATATTGTAATGTGATATTGTTACATAAGTTTCCTGTTGGCATCCACAAATACTTCCCAATATCCTACTGTGTTACTCTAATTTAGAGTTAAATTTTGAATTAGAAGGTTCCGTTATTGATAACACATACCTGAAAAAACAATGTTTCAGTCACAGATATGACCTTCCCCAATAAAACAAGGGTTTTTAAATTTTTATTTTTCTTTGATTAGGTTCTTAACTAAAAGGTGTTCATCTTCTACTTTTCAACACCTTTAATCATAAAAGTAGATGTTTGAAGAAGGCAGTACAGTCAGCTTATTATTTTCCTGAATCTGGATACAAAGTAATCAAATGTGGAGAGGCTTATAATAAACTGCAACCTCCAAAACAAACTGTGTCAAATAAAAGCCGGTGTTTTCAACATCCAGAAACACTTATTTCTGACATCAAATGTTTCCATTTTTATGTTGCCATTTTCCATTAGGTTCACAGGAATCAAAAATGTAATACTTCATAGCAATACACAGCATAAAAAGATAAGAACTCTTTCACATTTCCTCTTAAAATACAGGCATCTAGGCTCAATTCTAGAGACCCACCTCTATAACAATTTTCCTTTCCTTCACTAAGGAAGATAAAATATGACCCAAATGAACAGTAATCATTACTGATGTTATACATAAATAATTATCCTTCTTTAAAAGTTGCAGAGCTGCAATTTTTTTCAAACTGAGTAAGAGAACAAGGAGCTTCTACCTAAACTAATAAATTACATCTTGAAATATACACGATTGTGTTGTCCCCGAATTACTTCCAATGGTAACTGACACGCCCCGAATTTAACTGTACCAGACAGTTCTATCTGTCCCATCGCTGACCAAACACTGCTTCTCTGTTTCTATTCATTATGTATTATAAGAGATCTAAACACAGCTCAGCATGACAAGAAAAATTACAAGTCTTATGACAGCAAAGTGTTGCATTCAAGATCTCTTGCAGAACATCCTCATTTATGAGCACTGACAGACATGTTTTGTGTTGTGTGATAAAGCTAAAAAAATAAATAAAATAAAAACGTCGGATGCAAGCTCACGACCATGCAAGCTCAAGTACCTTCGGTACCCTCTCCTAAAGGAAAACCCTCCTAAAAATCCCAGCACTACTCAAATCCTGCAAACCAAACTTGCCAAGAACCTTGTGCAATGATCAATAACCTTGGCTACACCGCCAGCGGTCCTCAATTCACAGTTCTGAAGACCAATGCAGCAAAAACCCAAACCAGAGGCTAACTGCTGCGCTACCCCGCGACCGCCCTCTCTGCCGCATGGAGAGAGAGGCTAGGGGAGGAGAGGAGTGGAGCAAAGGCTCACCAGCTCCGAAGATGCTCCGGTGACCTCTGGCTGGGTGCTGAGACCTGGGCCAGCACGGCTCTAGCACTGCCGCGGCGGGCCGAGTGGACTTTGCCCCTGGTGCATTCCTCGCATTCCTGCACAATCGCTTGCCAGCGGAGGAGCCCGCGGAGCGCGACCCCCCGCCAGGACACACACCTGCCTACTGCTGCGCCTCGAGTGGCCACGGCGGCCTCGGCGCCACCGCTGCCCGTGCTCGCTTGTTTGTCGCACTCAGCCAACGCCAGCCCCGCCGCGCGCCCCCAAGCTTTCGGGGGCGGGGGGGGGGGTTAAAAAAAAAAGGAGACTAGAGCCGGGCAGCTCCAGCGGCAGGCAGGGACACCGGATCCGCCCAGGGGGTGTCGCAGCTCCGCTTCCAACTCCGGGCGAGGAGAGAAGGAAGCGGCGGCGCAGGACGACGAGCTCCAGGGAAGCGCGAGGTTGCGAAGTGCGAGAGGGGTGGAGCGTGAGGCTCCGGGGCGAGGAGCGAGGGGCGCACTGGACCGAGAGGGAGGAGGGCTGGGCAGGAGCGCGGGACTCGGGGCGCCCCACGCGAGACCCTGCGGGCTGCAGGGGCGTGGGAGCCCGGAGGGGGACTCGCCTGCGGCTGCAAGCGCCGGGCGCCGAGCAAGGCGGGTGCCCCAGGCTACGGGGGGCGCGGGGCGGTGTGCCAGGCGGGCAGGAGTGGGGCGACCTCGGAGCTGAGAGCCAGGCAGGCTCGGCGTGGAGTTCAAGTTGGGTACTTGGGGGAGGGAGGGTGGCGAGAGTTAAAGGGGGGCAAGGGGGCTCTAGGTCCGAAAGGACCGTCGTGGGGAAGGGTCGCGTGCGGCGTGCTGGGGAGACCCGAGAGGAAAATCGCCAGGAAAAGCAAATGGAGGGTGAAAGTTGTGCGCCTGCCGGGGGGAGGGGAGCAGGCAGACGAGTGCGGGCAGGAACACGAGGCGGGGCAGGAAAGCCGAGGCGGCCGCGAGGCGGAGGGGACTGAGTAACGGGAGGGAGGCGCCCGCACCCCCACCCCCTTGGTGCCCCCCGCCAAGGCAGGTCCAGGCGAGGGCCGGGGGTCTCGAGAGCGGGAACCTCGCGCCCTCCCGCCAACCCAACCACTTACTTTCCAGGTTAGGCAGCAGCTGTCGTAGCTCCAGGAATCAGGGACATCGGCGCCGAGGGGTCGCCGCTGCGGCACCCCCCAAAAAAAAATTTAAAAAAAAAAGTGCCGCGGCTAAGAGGCTGCCCGCCCCTCCCTCCCCCACCCGCCCCCTCCCCCGAAGAGGCTCTCCCACCACCCCCGGCGGCGGCGGTGGTCCACTTGCGCCTCTACCCAGTGCCCATGGTGCCGCTCCCGCGGCCAGCGACGATAGACTCAGCCCCGGAGCCCCCTCTACTGCCCAGAGGCCGCCGCCGCCGCCCGCCCAGCCGCCGAGCCCGCCTGCCCAGCCAGACCCGGGCTCCCGGGAACGTCAGCACGCCGCCGTCTCCGGACCTGCTCCTGGCCCACGCCATTGGCCGGGAGCAGCAGTGTGGCCCTCCCCATTGGCCCGGCCCTCATATTGAACGGACCAATGGGAACTGCGGTTTCAGGTCGCCATAGAGACCGATGCTGTTAAGAGTGAGAGGGCTGGGACTAGGTGGAGAGTGAAGATGAAGGTGTCCCTGGCTTTGGGCCCAGGAAGGGGGTGAGAGAATGAAGTACTCGGGGATTCCCGGACGCTGGCTGTGAAATTTGAGGCAACTTTTCTTTTGCTTTCCTGTCAACCCTAGCTGTAGGGTTTAGGGCTGGCCCCTGGCTCAAGGAACAGCATTTCCTTCGAATTCTTCATGGTGAGACCTTAGGAGTAGGCGTTTCATTTTTATCCTGCCTCTGGGAGACCTTGAGGCCCTTTGACCTTTGACATGTGTGCAGCTTCAGCTTCTCCAGGTGAGTTTGCATCCCATCCTTTACATCACCGAGTCCTTTTGACAATCTGTTGAACAGTGCAAATGCACTTGCTCATCTCAACCATTCCTTCTCCCCTGGAACGGATCTTGTGTCAAATGTGGTTCTTCCAACATAGAGGCCTAACTAAGGAATTTCCCAAGGTTTGCCTTTGTGTGCAAGCTCGATAGGGAAGCAGACTAATGCATTATATGATTGATGTCATCAGATCAGTACCTCTGATAATGTGTTCCCAAGGCAAACATTTAATCTCTTCGTTGAAGAAAATTTATTAAACACCCATCTGTGTTTGCACTTGGCACTATGAGCTTGACAGGTTAAAGGGCAGGGGAAAAACAGGTGACAGTGTCAGTCCTTCATGCTTTCTGATGATTTCACAAGAGAATGAAGGAAACACATTGGATTTTGGTTTTTAGACAATTCCAAATTTTTCTCTAAAGACATAAATTTACTGAGAAATGAAATCAGTACACACAAAACTCTTTAATTCTCTGCTTTTGTAAAGCCCAAATGGGTTTAGGGAATAACTTTCATATTTAGATACTAGCAAGTCAAATGAGATTTCATGAATATATAGGCTTTTATATTATATTGCTATCAATATAATATCAATGCTTATATCAATAAGCATTATATTGCTATCTCATAACCACTGATATTCACAGGTTCTTTCTGTGATTTTGTCATTTTTATACTAAATTTTTCTTAGCAAGAAGACTATTTATATTACTGCCCCTCAAGTTGAAGGGACCATATTGTGTGAAAAAGATGATAGGATTTTGGAAATTAGAAATACTTTGTTGAGACAAACAGATTAATGTGTGTGCAAGCTACATATGTCTAACTATTGCCCCGAATTTTAACTTGAATAATATTCTTTGCTAGGAGTTTTTAATCTTTCTGTAATAAAAATTGCAGAGATGGATTAGAATTGTTATGTGATATCCTGAATAAGGAAAAAATAATAAACATCTCATTATTTGTAGTGAAACTTGAACTTAGTTTACAGTTCTCTGCAGGGCTTGTCTGGAACAAAACAGCTGAACATGTGTGTGTTCCCCTAAATAATTCCAGAATTCAGAGGGTATAAATCGGGATCATGGAGTTCTGTCTCATGAAAGGTGATCATGTTTTCAAACTTCTTTTTGTTTCTAGAAGGGGTAACAAAAGTAAAATGCTTATCTGCCATGAAGGCAAGGGGAGGGATGGGATGGGGAGGAAATACTGGGGACATTGGTGGTGGGAGCTATACACAGGTGGAGGGAGAGTGTTTGATCATTGTATGACTGAAACTCAAACATGAAAGCTTTGTAACTGTATCTCATGGTGATTCAATAAAAAATAAATAAAATTTAAAAAAAAAGAAAAGTAAAATGCAAATTATAAATAAGACATATTTAGGCCTAATGAATAGCTCAATGGGCTATTTATGCAAAGGATGAAAGTCCAGGTTTGTTCCCTGCACCAGTTAGCAGCAGTCTCCTGAGCATAGAACCAAGAGTAGCGCTCAGGCAATACCAGGTGTGCCTAAACCCTCCCATCCTCACACTGAATAACAAAAAAACAGAACAACAAGACACAGTTTTATGTTAACAAGATACCAATCATTTGAGTTTAAAATTTTAATGATTCTAAATGAACTGATGATGAGTCTGAAAGGGGGAAAAGTGTTATTTCCTTTTTTTCTTAGGCTAGCAGAAAAGAAAACTAGTTGATTTTATCATGATAATCATTTTGCATTTTCGTCAAATTACATTTGATGATTATTTTAATATTGTGTATTTTATGTTTGCAATGATTAAAGTATTATCATAAATGCATGTAAATAATGACCCCCTTTCATTCTGATACTTGGTTAAAAGGATTTTTTTGAATTTGCTCCTCACTACCAACCCTTGCTGGATAAGGTTAAGAAGATAGTAACAGTGAGTTGGGCACTTGCCTTCCATGCAGCCCACCTGGGTTATATTCCCTGCACCACATATGACCCACCAGGAGTAACCCCTGAGAACAGACCCCTGAGTCCTGAGCACTGCTGGTTGTGACCTCAGCAGCCTTTCCCCGGACTTCCAAACTCCCACAAAAGAAAGAAAAATCACCTTGTTCCATTAAAAAACTTTGCATCTAGAGTTGACTGAATCTTTACTGATTCTCAAGATTCTCATCAGGAAAGTAGTTATCTAGGACAATTATCCAGGAATAACACTTAGGGCACTTCCCCTAAATCTGTCTTATTTCTGTTCTCCTCAAACCTGGTTGTCTTCCAGCTTTGTAAATGCTCTCATCACATACTTGCTTGAGGAATCTACCATGAGGTCGCTCAACTTTCCTAAACTTCACTCTTACCTAAACTTATACTTTATCTCTTCCTTTAGTCCTGGATGGGGGATGTCCACCCTTCTCATCAAAACTCATATTCCATACTCTGCTTGCTTCTAAACATGGGTCTTTTTCTCCTCAAGGACTTACTCCATTGTTCATAACTTTTCTCTTAGATTATATGTTGCACCCTTTCCTCTACATTCCCCCATCCTTTACAAACAACCTCACCTATTATAAAACCACTTTTCCCTCTCTCTATATTGCCTCCATCTCTATCTGACCTTTTTTATTTTTCTCACACAGAAGCAATCTGAAGATAATATCTTGAGTTTTCTGTTTCTTACCCCCTATGTACTGGCTCTTGTATACAACTGAAGTGATAATATTGTGTTTTGATCTTAAAATCCTTTTTCTGCCTATATATTCTCTCCTATGAAAGTGGCCTTTGTTGGCAAATTGTCTCAATTCAGATTTCCTGGGAAAGGTTCAAACCACTTTTTCCCATGCTGAGAGTCCATAGAAATGCAAACCATGTACTTGAGAATTCTTTGAAACCCTAGAGCCATACCTTGGTGGTTCTCATAGAGGGGAATTGTGAGTTGGAAGAGGGGCTCAAGGCAAGGTTTCAAAGATTGAAGTTTGCTGAGTTCTAATCTGAATTAGATAATAAAAATAGACAGCAGAGTGACCAGAGTGGGTAGGGCATTTGCCTTACACACAGCCTATCCGGGTTCAGTCCCCAGCATCCCATATGGTTCCCCAGGCACCGCCAGGACTAATTCCTGAGTGCAGAGCCAGGAGTAGTAACCTTTGAGCATCACTGAGTATAACCCAAAAAGCAATAATAATAATAATAATAAATAGAAGAAACCCAGAAGAAGTTTCCAGTTACTGCCTGAGTAAAAAGATAAAACACATCATTCCATTATCTATGTAAACCTTGTAATGTTCTGGGTTTTTCAATTTCATATTCAGTCATAATATTTACTAGCAAATACAGAAAAATAGTAGTGACAAGGAAATGAAAGGACTGAGAACAATGTGTTTTTCCTCATTGTTGAATATTACTGGATATGATGGTCTCAGTTAATCTAAGAATGCCCAAAAGCACACTGTTTGGGCTTGGGTAGGTAGGAGTGTTTCTGTGTATTTTTAAGGAATGTTAAAAAAAAAAAGACACATCACAAAGGAGGAAAAAAGAACAATGGATGAAATAAATTGAGTAAGGCAGGCACTTTACCTGCTGCAATGTCTCCCCAGCTCATGTGTTCTTCATATTGCCTTAGACTCCTGAAGTGCCTCCCCATGTAATAAAAGAAAATGTTCTTTCTGTTTTGTTGTTGCTGAGTTCTTGTAGTATTTAACTTCCACCTGTGTGTAACTGGAATCAGTAATGTGTGTGATTGATTAGCAAAAAAATGAAAATATGAGTTTAATATAGAAAAGTGAGGTGACCTTTGGCTGAGTGGACTAGAGGTTTTTGCCTTTGGACTCTTAAGAGAGAATAGCCTCAGATCCCCAGATCAGTATATACTGGATTAAGACTATAAACAGTTCATATGGGGGGAATGGGGATGGGAGGAGTAGCTGATGAAATCTGGTTTTGTTCAGAAGGTGAAATAAGTAAAGGTTACTAACACCATCCCACCCTGCTCCCACTTCCCCACCTGAAGCATCCAGATTGTTCTTTCTTTTAGAACATGGTAGAATCATGAGATTCTTCAGATATGTAGTAAAGAGAGTAAAAATAATTCTAAGCATTACGGGCTGGAGCGATAGCACAGTGGTAGGGCGTTTGCCTTGCACGCAGCCAACATGGCCGACCCGAGTTCGATTCCTCCGCCCCTCTTGGAGAGCCCGGCAAGCTACCGAGAGTATCTTGCCCGCATGGCAGATCCTGGCAAGCTACCTGTGATGTATTCGATATGCCAAACACAGTAACAACAAAGTCTCCAATGGAGACGTTACTGCGCCCGCTTGAGCAAATCGATGAACAACGGGAGGACCGTGACCTGTGACCTGTACATTTACAAGCCTCAGGACCTTGCATCGAGCCACAATTTCACCCCCTGTAAAAAACAGATTCAAAGGTAATCAATCCATTTCTTGTGGGTAACTTATGTCAAGTGGAAGCGAAAGAAAAGAAACTACTGTTTCCCTCTATTTAGCATGAAAGCAGATTTTCCAGGTGGTTTCTTGAAAATTGTATGAAAGATTTGCAAATAAAATCTTTGGTTTCTTGAGAATTGTATGAAAGATTTGCAAATAAAACTTGGTAGATTAGAGATTAGAATTTATTGTACAGAAAAAAAAAGATGATTCTGGGTCTCTCCCCAGAAGCCCTTTACCCATGAACATTTCAGTGGTCCTGTCCTGATGCTGCCCATCCCATAAACAACTTCGCCGTCTGGTCCTTCACATTCTACTCATTTCCCATTAACAATGGCCAGGTCTTGTCTCTGTGCTATTCTCTCTATCCTATGTATGCTTTCCTCAGTCTCTAGCCATGGCCACATGGATGTGGGTGAGACTCCTGTGCTCAACTTTATCACAGTCTCTACTGGGGATCTGAGCCCTACCTGAACATGAGCTTTCCTGGGTTATCTGAGCCCTGCCTGTATTCTACCCCTGACTGGGTATATATTGCCTCACTATACTGA